CCGGCTAATTTTTTGTATTTTTAGTAGAGACAGGGTTTCACCGTGTTAGCCAGGATGGTCTCGATCTCCTGACCTCGTGATCTGCCCGCCTTGGCCTCCCAAAGTGCTGGGATTACAGACGTGAGCCACCGCGCCCGGCCAATTTGTAGTATTCTCACTGACATTTATTCTAAAGAGTCTATAAATTCCACTCTTATTTCCTCTTTAGCACAAGTATTTTTAAACTTCCAAATGGGGAGGAGGGCCTAGCCTTTTTGCTGTTGCTGTTAATATTTCCTTTTATTGAGTTGTAATTAGAAAACATAAAATAGGTTTTCTAATTAATTTAGAAATAATGTTCTCCAGCCAGGCGTGGTGGCTCATGCCTGTAATCCCAACACTTTGGGAGGCCGAGGCGGGTGGATCACGAGGTCAGGAGTTCGAGACCAACTCTGGCCAACATGGTGACACCCCATCTCTACTAAAAGAAAAATATAAAAATTAGTTGGGTATGGTGGCACATGCCTGTTATCCCAGCTACTCGGGAGGCTGAAGCAGGACAATTGCTTGAACCCAGGAGGCAGAGACTGTAGTGAACTGAGATCACGCCACAGCACTCTAGTCTGGGCGACAGAGCAAGACTCCATCACGGGGAAAAAAAAAAAAAGAAAGAAATAACGTTCTCCAAAGATATGGGCAGATTGTTCCCTCTGCCTAACCGCCCTTCCTCAGTCTATCCAACTGGCAAACTCCTATTCATCCTTTAAAAAAGCTGGAATTTCACATAGTCTAGGACCAACCACTCAGGCCTCTTGGGGCAGGTCTCTAGGGAAGGATTGTTTTAAGGAAGGACAAACTACAGATAGATCCTGAATGTCCTCTTTGGTCTCCTGACCTGATCTCCCAGGCACTCTCCTCATACACTCTGACACCCATTCCACAGGCACAGCGGGGGCTCAGGGAGGTGGGAGGGGCTGGCAATGACACTGTATATTTGCCTGGAAGGAGGAGGAATTGGGGGAGGGATGGGTCTAGCTCTTACCTGCTCTCTGCCAGCCTGCCTGAGGGGGTAAGCTTCATGGAGTCAAGGACCTGAGTAGGACAGCAATACTGGTGTAGAGTATGAGACGCTGTGGACCTGAGAGACAGCAAGAGACAGAGAGAGAGACAGAGAGAGAGACAGGGAGGGAGGGAGGGAGGTGGCAGGGTGGGCGATGGGGGCAAGAAGGTGAGAGAGTGAGTGTGGGAGGGGAAAAGGGAAGGCTGGGAGGAATGGAGGATGGGAAATGGAAGAGGAGGGGTGGGAGGCAGGGAGGGAGGAAAGGAAGGAAGATAAGAAGGGAGAAAGGAAAAGAGGAAGGGAGAGAGGGAGGAAGATAGGGAGAGAGGAAGGAAGGAAGGAAGGAGGGAGGGAAGGAAGGGAGGGAGGGAGAGAGGAAGGAAAGAAGGAAGGAAGGAAGGGAAGGAAGGAAGAGGAAGGAAGGAAAGAAAGGAAGGAAGGAAGGAGGAAGGAAGGAAGGAGGAAGGAAGGAGGAAGGAAGGAGGAAGGAAGGAAGGAAGGAAGGAAGGAAGGAAGGAAGGAAGGAAGAAAAAAAGAAAAAAACCACAAAGTCAAGAAAGAGAGGACGGCACTCGAACCACATACAGAACACAATGACAACAGGGGGCAGTGAAGACGAAAGAGCCGGGCTGGGCCTCCTGTGTTCCAGGTGACTCCGTGGGGACCTCAGCCACAGAAACGCTGGGACACCACAGCAGGGAAGGGGGAAGGCAGCCCTCCTCACACCAGACGCCACAGGGGTAGGGAGGACGGCAGGGGAAGGGGGGATGAAAGAGAGGGGGGAAAGATGCATGGGGGCTCCCCTGAGAGAAGACCGCTCACAGAAAGGGAGGAAGGGATGGAGGAAGGAGAGGCTCTGGGCCCAAAGAAGGGGGAGAACCCAGGTGGGTGGGTAGGGGGAACACTGAAGGAAGAGAGGGAGAGAGACAGAGAGAAACCGAAAGAGACAGAAAAGGAGAAAGACAGAGAAAGAGGAAGACAGAGAAAGGGCGAGACAAAAGACACAGAGAGAAGCCAGAGAGAGGCAGAGAGCACCAGAGCAGAGGAGGGTGAGGACGGAGGAGGCTGACAAGGTCTCAGTGGTCTTGGTGACAGGATGGGACTCAGGGCTGAGTGGGTGAGGCAGAGGATGGGGTGGTTCCAGGTAGGAATCTTTTTGCTTTGAAGGCCAATGCTTTACCCCCCCACCCCAAGGCAGGGCCCACACTCCACCCCTGATGCTGCGCCCCCACCACCCCTAGTGCAGGGTCCAAAGACCCCTCCACCTTGTGCCTCCTGCGATTAAAGTCCAGAGAATGGCCAAGGGGAGGAGGAGGCACAGCAGGGCAGGGAGGCTGAGGGCCTGGTCCCTGCCCTACCCAGTGCAGTGCAGATGCCAGAGGTGTGCCAGTCAGCCGGAGCCAGAGCAAGCTGGGAGTGCAGCCGACCTCTCCAGGTCAGCCAGCCCCTGTCCCCCACAAGCCCATAGAGGCAGACTGTGGTCAGGGCCTGGCCATTCAAAAGCCCATGTAAAAGCCAGGAGACGTGGCCAGGCCAGCTGTGAATTCGAGGATGTCCAAATCTGAGAACCTTACAGAGAATCTTTGAATCTGAGACTCTTCTTATCGAAGGTTCTGAATTAATCATCATCAGGGCGACGGCTTCTCAGGTGCCAGTCTCCAACCCAAGTCCTTGACTCATTATCTCTTTTGAATCGGAGACTCAGAGACCCTTAGGCTGCTGGAATGTTGGTGTTAGAATCTCAGAGGCCTCAAGCCTGGAGCCCTGCAGTGCCTCGCACACAAGGTTAGTAGAGCAGGGGTAGGAGCCAAGCTCACTCCTCACAGGCCACAAGCTGTGCTGCTTAGGGTTCCAGGGTTCTTCCAGAGCTGGGCACTTGGATGCCCATGGGCTCTCCCACTTGAACTGGCTCCCTCCCCCAGGCCAAAGGCCTCTCAGAGTCCAAGAAGGGAGCCAGGAACCAGGAAGCCAGGAGGCTGCTGAATCAGCAGCCCAGGGACTGGGTCCAGGTCTGGGCAGGAAGGGAGGGGGCCAGGCTGCGGGGCCCAGGTTCCTACCTGCTGCTCCTCCCGGGGGGCTCCATGGGTCTTGACCTGTCCCAAGGGCAGGCCCCCTGGCCTACCCGGTGTCTCCACCGTGTCACCACCCCCTCCTCCCCAGCCCTTCCCTAGAAGGAGGAACCAAGAAGGCGGGGCCAGGCCAGCTGGGCTGCCGGCCAGATTGCAACTGGAAACTTTGCTCCTTTCCCTACTCCTCCAGGAGGGCTGGGAACCCCACCGAAGAGGAAGCGGCCTGGAGAGCTCTCAGTCCCTCCTCTGGGCCAAACCCCAGGCTGGGCTCCCTCAGTGCACCTCTGCTAGAATCTCCCCACGCACCCCATCAAGTTTGTATCGCTGGCTCTATTCTCCTGAACAGAAAATTGAGATGGAGAGAGGTGAAGTAATACTGCTGGTAAGTGGCAGAACTCCAATATCAAGACCCGGTTTGGCTATTCCCAAACCTGGAATCTGCCCCTTCAGCCATATTGCTACCTTGTGAATACAGAAACCTTTCCATAGACGCTTTTCACAAATATCCTTCTTTTCAGCACAGTTAAAGAGACTATGTTTAGGAGTTGTTCTGGGACTCTGCGTATTAAGTAAAATTCAAATCACCCATTTTGGGGTATCAAGATGGGGCCCCAGTCAATATTCTTTCCCACTGCAATAAGCTCTCACTCTTCTGTGTTGTCTTCTAGACTGGCTGAGAGAAATGCTTCCTGAAGAGAAGACAGAAAATCAAAAGAAATGCCAAGAGGCTGTTCTTCCAAGGAACTGCCCAGCCTGATTTTACGGATGGGGAAATTGAGGCCTGGAGAGAAGGGTCTTACTAAAGTTCATGCAGCAAGTCAGAGTAGACTCCAGGTGCCGTGGCTCCCTGCCTGCCTGTTACAGCAACCTCTCTGTCCTCCACACGGGCGGGACTGGAGAAAGGAGAGAGTTTTTCAGCTTTGAAGGATGTAGGGCTGCTGAGAATATCACAGGTCCAGCTCAAAGTGCTCCTGTCCTTTCACAGCCCTGGAGCCCAGGCCCCTGGCTGTTCTGAGCAGAAGGCGGCCCTGGGAGGGGCCAGGGGGCCAGTGATCTAGAAGAAATAGAAGCTGACAGGCAACAGGCCAGCCTTCCTGCCTCCCTGCTGGGGCAGCTGGTTCCTCTCAAGAAAGCCAAAGCTACTGAGAGAGAGAGGCCCTCCGGACCACCACAAGGTTGGCATCTGTGGGTCCTTGGTGGCCTCCTCTCCCTCTGCCCACCCCTCAAAGCCCTGGTCCTCAGGGCTCTAGCCTTAGCCCCTGCTTTTTTTTTTTTTTTTTTTAAACTCTCCTTGAGGAACTCTCCTAGCTCCTGCAGCAGCTTCACCTTGTGCCCATTTGTACTTATTGCCCTAAGAGCTGAACCCTCTTGACCTGGCAGGAGCCGAGAGACATTAAGTGTAGTGCTGGGCCGGGTGCAGTGGGTCATGCCTGTAATCCCAGCACTTTGGGAGGCCGGGGGCAGTGGGACGGGTGGGGAGCGGTGGATCACCTGAGCTCGGGAGTTTGATACCAGCCTGGGAAACATGGCAAAACCCTGTCTTTACTAAAAATACAAAAATTAGCCAGGCGTGGTGACGCACACCTGCAGTCCCAGCTACTTGGGAGGCTCGCTTGAGCCCCAGAGGTGGAGGTTGCAGTGAGCTGAGATCACGCTGCTGCACTCCAGCCTGGGTGACAGAGCAAGACCCTGTCCAAAGAAAAAAAGAAAAGAAAAGAAAAAAAAGAAAGTGTAGTGGTAGCTTTAAGGGATGATGCTGTGTGACTTTGGGTAAGCCCCTTTCCCTCTCTGGTGAGACAAAGAACCTACACTTTGGTGCCTGGTAAAGCTGGGTACAAGTCCTCGCCCTATCACTTTTTAGCTGGGTAAGCCCTCTGAAGCTCAGTTTGCTCATCTATAGGAGAGGAGTGGCAATTCCTACCTCACAGTTCTTGTAGGGATTTGGTAGGTAGACAAAGTGTGCACATGGTGAAGAGTCTCAGCCTGAACCTGAGAGAGTCTGACCCTTCTCCCAGAGAGGCAGAGGAGACCCATGGGAAGCCTGCTTGTTTCAGGGATAGTGAGGAAGATTTCTAAGAAAATATCCCTGAACCTGGGACCACTTTTGGAATTCAGTCATAGCTGAGCATGCTGAACAGACTCAGATGATGACCCACCAGGGCCTGAAGGGAGGAAGGAATGAAGGGTGAGGAGCCTGACCCAGCCACGGGGCACTGGTAGGGCCTTCACGTGCTTATTCGACAGATACTGTGGCCCAGGCACTATCCCCAGTGCTGGATACAGCAGTGGCTAAGGGTAGACAATGTCCAGCCCTCACGGAGCTTATATCCAAGTGAGAGGAGACAGACATTCATCAACTAATGCAATTCAACTGAGCAAAATGTAGAGACGGCAGGAGGAAAGCATTCCAGGCAGAGGAAACAACCCGGACAAAGGACCTGAGGTGGTAATTCCAGCAAGCACGAAGAGGCTGACGTGGTGGGGTGGGAAAAGTGCAGGGGAGAAAGGTGAGACTGGAGATGGAGGTGGGGGCCCAGCATGCAGAGCCTTGGAGGCCTCGGTGCGGGTTTCCGTATCTATAGGAAGAGCAGTTTGGAAGCCTGTGGTTTGTGGACAGGCATGTGGGGTGGGGAGTATCTTTGAAGCCCCTAAAGTTGTATGAAAAGCTTTAATTTCCGGGGAGAACACCTCTAGCTTTGATCAGATCCTCGCATGGGTCTGTGATCCCAAAGGGTAGGGAAGCTTCTTACATGATTCCATTCGCTAAGTGCCCATGATGAGCGGGTGGCAGGCATCCTAGAATCTTCCGTGAGCTAGCCCCTATCCCACACCTCCAGCTAGTCTCGGCCTTCTCCCCACCTTCAACCTGCACCCCACCCAGACAGAAGCACCTGCAACTCTCAGCTACACTCTGCTGCTCCAAGCCTTATTAAAGAGAATTTGTGTCAAATGCTCTGTAATAGTACCTCTGTTGTCCCACTGTGCCCCCACTGTCATCTCCCCACCTGGCTGGCTCCCCATTGTTCTTCAAAAGTCAGCTAGATGTTGTGCTCTCTGGGAACCTGCCTTGACCCCACCCAAGCAGGTTGGGTCACCTCCCTTGTGTCCTTCCGCCCTGCTCTTCTCTCAGCTGGCTTCTCTCAACACTGTGTTCAGATGCCTGCTGCCCCTTCTCTGTCAGGAGCTCTGTGAGAGCTCTGTGTCTTGTTCATCCCAGTGTCCCCAGCACTCAGCACAGGGCACCTGGTCGCACATGGTGGGGGAAAGTGGACAGAGGTGGAGGCTGCAAGGTGGGCCAGTGGACACTAGAGGGCACTGTGGCCACTAGAATCCCAGCCTGCTGCTGGCCAGGCAGCCCCAGGAGGCTCCCAGGCCCACGATTGTCACATGGAAACTGTTGCTGGGTCCTGCAGCTCCTCAGCTCTGGACCTAAGCAACCAGGGCCACAGTTCCAGCCTCCCGATAAACCTTCTGCTCCCTTTCCAGACCAGGCCATTTCTCATGACAGTGCCATCTCACTGCAGATACTCCTTTAGTTCTTCACAAATGTGGGTGCCAAACACTCTTCTCGCAGTTCTGGCCTGCAACACTCTGCACTTCTCCTTGCCCCAGCCAACCCCTCCCCTGGCTAACTTCTACTCATGCTCCAAGCTTCCACTTAGATGTCGGCTTGGAGACGCCTCCCTGGCCCTCAGGCTGGGTTGGGTATATTTCCATGGTGCTCCCACAGCAGCCTGCACTTCCCCTATAATTGTCTGTAATTGTCTGTCTCCTTGTCTATTTCCTGACCAGACAGTGGGCTTCATCACAGCAGGGCTGTTACTCACCACCCTATCAGTCACATTTAGCAGCGTCTGGCACATTGTAGGCACTCGATAAATCCTTGAATGAAGGAATAAATGAATGGATATGTGGATGGACAACTTGAGGCAAGTCATTTTACCTCTCTAGATTTCAGTTTCCCCACCTGTAAGTCACCCCTACTTAGCAGGGTGGCCACAAGGATTAAAGATAATGTGTCTCCAGTGCTCTGTAATAGTACCTGATATTTAGCAGACATTTTCTGACTCAAAGCAATTATTACTATTTGGAACAGTGAGAAAAGGGCAAGGGGAGGAGTTGAAGGAGACTGCCCAGAACCTGGGATAATGTCTCCCACTTAGGTTTACCATTTAGATATGGAAGATGGCTTTAACAGCAATAATAAAACTACCAATTTTATTAAAAGTAACAGCACCTACTGTGTGCCAGGCCAGAATCAGGAGGCCTCTGAGGAGGTGGTGGGAAGCCCCTAGTCTCAGCCAGAGGATGCAAGGCCAGGGCTAAGGCCAGAACTGTGGACATTGCTCCTGTGTCTGGAGAACAGTCATTACTGGCACGGCTGGTTCCAGACTCTTTATTCATAGGTGAAAACTTGTCTAAAGGGTCATTAATTCCCTCTGTAATTAATGTAAAACCTGCAGGGTTTGTATTAATGGAAAAGTAAGCTCCAGTGTCAAGCTGATAACATTGATAATGTGTACTTGTAATTATACACTGGAGATAACTATAAATTCAGTCACTGAACTCATAAAATATCAAAATTCTTGAGGCCACCAAGAGCTGGGTAGCAGCTGTCCCATCAGTAGCTTTATACCAGTTGCTCTGAGGTGATGAAAAATTACCACAAGCTGGTAGCAATGGTAATATTCACTGTACATTTAAAAGCTTTTTCAGCATAAAATAAGAGGGCACTTTTAGACAAAACAGCATGTTTTGATGCAAGGATATGGAACTTGAAAGCACAGTGAGCAAAGGTCATCTTGCTATAAAACAGGAACCAAAAACAATCTTACAAGCTTTTGCCTCTGAGCCGACCAGGCTCTGACCTCACTTGGGTACACATAAAAACTGTGTTTACTGCAGAAGAAACACGAAATACCAAGTGTTTTCTCTCTCTCTCCTCTCATTCAATTCTAAGGGAATCAATTTTCTCACATGGCCCCTTGCCGCCTTGTGTTACCAACAGGCTGGAGGATCACAGCAGTCCAATGGCAGGAGGGGCGGTTCCTGAAGCTGGAAAAGGTCATATAGCTTCCAAGTTGATGGCCATGTCAGGCCATGGGCA